CTAGGAATTTTAGATTTTCTGATTATATACATAGTTCTGAAAAGTCCACGCTTCTCTTTTGCAAGTATCTCAATCATTTGTAAAGTTCTAGCATTTTTAAAGCGTGATTACCCCCAAGTGAAAAGGTGGAAATTGCTGTGCCATGTAGCTCTCCAACAACTTGATCAAAGCCTGACATTCACTGTGTGAGGAAATCGCACTTAGCTAGCAAAGTATTAGACATCTTTGAAGGAAGATAGATTAAAAAGTAAATAAAAACATTTTCATGTTGTTAAGTGAAATATATTTGTGGTTTCTTAGAGTACGAGTGTCAAAATATATTATAGGCAGAAGACAGTATTTTTCTGCATTTCTGGCTGCCTCAAACACTTGACGGGTTTTCCCAGGTCACCACATATACTGCTCTTTGTATTAGCTAGATTTATTATTAGCTTTAGGTAGTATGTAGGTAATATTAGGTAGTGTATTACTTAGTGTATTTGTTCTCATTATTGTTTTATTCAAATAGATGGTTTTCTTCACTGACGTGAAGACAATGTCACAATACAGAATGATATCAAATTTAGTTGCTGTCAAGACTACAGTACAGTGAGGGCAACCTCGCATATTTCAAAACCCTAAGGTTTAATATCCACTAACTACATGTTTAATAAGAAATAATAAATGAGTTATTATTACATACTGTAAAAGTAAGAGTAGAAAATTTGAAATTTAGGTGGTTAAATTCTATAACATTTTTTCATAACATTCAACAAGGAATGGGATAATAATCTAATCTAATTTAACCTCAAATCAGCATCTTGTTATAGTGAGTAACAATTCACTACTGCTCTCAGGAAAATGTATTATGATATTATTTATCACTTATTCGAAAATATGTTCATTGCACACGCTTGCACTGGGCATTTTTCAAATCAAGCGCAATGCCCTTAAAAAATCAACCTAAGTACAAATACCTGTGCTGGCACACGTGAAGGCCGCTGTGCAATGTAAAGCCCGGATAATGAAACGTGGTGAGAATGGCTCTGTTTAATAATTTAGTCTCGCCGTTGTGGAGCCGCTATTGATTGCGCTTCCAGGAGTCTTATGAAAATGTTATCTCGAGCCTCACAACCTCCAGCGCCACTAGCCCCGCTCCATCTGACAATGTAATCATCAGCCGGAGCTCTTCTACCCTGTCTCTGACCTCACACATCTCCATTTTGATTCTGTCTGTTGTTCTCCTCTTCCTGCTCCCTCTATCCCATACCCTGCACACAGCTGTTCTCTGAAACGCCATTTATGACTACAAAAGAAGCTGTGAAGAAAAAGAAGTGAGGCAAAAGAAACAATCCAAGGCAAACAAATAAAAGCAGGGAGGAAGCTCTTGAATTACACTTGATTATGCTGTATTATGGATTTCATGGCCAGACTACAGTACCATTTCAGCCTTGAGCTTTAAGGATTGCTTTATTTATTCCTTGCCAGACTCATGTGTACAATCAAACCTAAAACATGTCCCCTCCACAAGCAGTTGAGTGCGTCTTTAAAAATGTACAATGGACACAAGCCCTTCTCCTTTTAGCTTTGGAAAAATGCCCGTTTGAATGCAGCTGCTGCTGAAGCTGGGAGGACCGCGCTCGGCTAAGCACCTAATGACATTAGCACCAGTGCTGTTAATGCTTTTTTCAGTTGAATTTCGAGTGTACATTAATAAATGCGGCCATTAAGCCTGCATTTTCGCAGCAGATTTACTCTTAACGCTGAACCAGTGCTTTAAGGGCTTTGGAGTCGGGGTTTTAACAAATAAACTGCAGCAATAAAAAAGCGGAAAGTGCACTGCTAAGAACCTAATTCAATGAATCGCTAATTCAAAACAAAACAAATATACTGAAGAGTCAATACGGGCTACTGCCTAATAAAATCACCTGGGAAAAAAACAGAAATGCTCATGAAAAGCTGAGCTTGCTTTTAATAGTTGCTGAATTTATAAAACAAGTCTGTCTCTTCCTGTAATATTGGTGCATGGTTCTAAACATGTTCCCTACAGACTGAGGTCATGTAGGTGTACTTCAATCTCCCTTACACATGACACAAGCACTCGAGCTCCTGCAAAGTCTGCTGCTGTGGGTAATCTTTCACAGGACTGAAGAAGCACACAATAACTGCAGAGCGTACCTGAGAGCCACTGGTGAGCCACACACCTTTACATATTTATACATGCAAATCTGCTGGCTTGTTTCCACAGGCTGAGTGGCCGGTGGAGAAAAAAAAAAAAAAGAAAAAAAGGAGGGGGGTAAATCAAGTGTAGCACTGGCACATGAAGAAAGCAGGGGGAGGGAGAAATGAAGAAAGAACGAATGAATGCAGAAGAGCCAGAGAGACAATGAAAGCATTAGAGAAAAAAGCCTGAGAGAGAGAGAGAATATCAGAGCCCATTTCTTCGAGGTGCTTAATGACTCTGTTGTAAAGATGGCGCTGGCTGGCGTGCCGCTCAATAAATATTAACAAGTACTGCGACTGATGGCGCTGCTCACTGATCCATAATTGCATTTCAAAATGCTGGAGCCAAACAGAGAGAGAGAGAGAGAGAGAGAGAGAGAGAGAGAGAGAGGGCACAAGAGAGCGAGAGAGGGGGGAAAAGGAGGGAGAGAAGAGTGGTGTAGTGGTCTAAGCAGAATCCTGTGGACTGATGAGCAGACAGCACTCATACTGGCCAAGCCAGGCTGAATGAGGATTTAATCACAGCCACAGAGAGCGTTTAATAGAGACACTGGCCATTCATTATGTTGCTAATGCTTCCTCTTCACAGTGTCATGACTGCACACGTTATGATTCTTTTCTTCCTGTTCATGCAAATCTGAGATAATGTTTAAACCATTTTTTATGGTAAAGAAATATACATTACACAAAGCACTGTGGGACAATGAGTGTTTGTCAGAGATGCAAAACACAGGCTGCACGTTAAAAAAAATCACTTTTGTCCCTCGTTTCTCATTTATGCACATATATTTGCATCTTTATGCAAGCGTTTTAATTAAAGCTGCGAAACATTAGCAGGCTTCTGAGATAAGTGGCAAAGCCATCAGGAGAGAATTGCACTCTGCATCTCATGCATGAAAGATTGCATGCTCTTCACTCTAGGAAGGTTTCCCCAAACGTTTTGAAAGCACACCCGCACTGCATTCACACTAAAAGTAATCAATGTGTGTTAATTGCTGTTTGGTTTCACTCAGGGTCAGAGCGAGGCCGGTTCAGTTTGCTGTGCCCTCCCTGTCCACTGCCCCGAGCTATTGTTTCCAGTAAATCATTAAACTCCGAGTCTCGGCTCTGTTACCAAATGGAGCGAGGAGGACGACGCAAACCTGGCTAACCTTTAGCAGCAGGGGGCACATGCTCGTACACGTCTCTCATATGAACACTAAGCAAAGCGTTAAAATAAATAAATAAGTAAACCAAAAAAAAATTACTAAGTGTTTATCGGCAAACAATAACACGCGTCCGCCCCCCCTCCAGCCAGTCACGCTCAGCGAAAACCATGAATCCTTGCAGATAATTGTATTGTACATCGCATCTAATTAAATGTCCATAAGCAGAGAAAAAGCGAGTGGAACAGACCAGGGATTTTTTTTTTTCTGGCTGAGCCCCCAGAGGAAAGCAGCAATCACTCCATTAGAGACTGTGCCGTGCTGCAGCTGAGCTGGCCAATATCAGCAAATTAGTTTAGCTACGGGGATGGGGGAGGGGTTGCCCACACACACACACACACACACACACACACACACACAGTGTCACTCATCAAGCATATACAGGCAACTGAAATTAGAGGAAAGGAAGATCGAGGGACACAAACAAAGAAGAGAGAGAGAGAGAGAAAGAGTGATGTGAAAAGGGAGGACAGCAGCAAACAAAGAGACTGGACGAGTGTATCGAGCAGAAAAGGCGCCGGTGTGAAGGTGCTGCTCATGATTGATTCGCCGGTGTACAATGTACTTTGTGTCTAACCCCCCCACTGAGAGATCGCTGTCGTTCTCCTCTCTCTTTCCTCTCTCGGGCAAAGCCGAGGGCTCTGATCCTAACTTATCGGGTGTCAAAGAGTGAGTCGAAATTCAGAGATAACGCTGCGCTGTGCAGCTGTGTGACTGTAGAGCCACACAAAGAGCTGATTGCTAACAAAGTACAGGAGATCAGGCACAGCTGGAACACTTTCTTTCCATTTCTTTCTCAATTACACCATGGTAATGTGATCAAACTCTGTATACAGCAGTTTTAGTACAAAGAATGTGTACGTGTGTATTGTCATGTTCAAGACCCATCATGTTTGGTTAGTGCGCATTTTAATGAAAAAATTAAAGCATATCTGAAGTGGCAGGGGTGTGAGAGCCGCAATAATGAGGAACAACTACATACATTGTAGATATGCGCAATGCGGTTTTTTTTTTGTTTGTTTTTTAAAAGAAAGGAAGCTGGATTAAAAAACTTCACTCTGCACACTCAGATGATGTGGTGAAGATTTCTGTAAGGAGTTTATTTCTGTAATGTTTATTTAACATTTTAACAAGGAGTCTCCAGTGTCAGTACTTTGTAAAAGTCAGGGAGTTTTCCGCCACTTTGAGTTTTCTGATTTCTCCAGAACACAAGGAGAAAAACAAAGGCTGATGAGGGAGGACTGTTTATAGCTGACAAAATACGTATGACAACAGGAAGTAACTTGTTTTCATGGCCGTTCCACAACATTAAATGTAACTATAATCAGATAAAATGTGTGATGTCAGATGTGCCATTCTTTAATAAATGAAAATTGCCATCATCAACAAATTCTTCTGGTATGAGAGGAATAAAACACTTTAGGGTATGCTGTTATTGGAAAACAATCTGTTATTGGCATTGATTATTTTCCTATAACATCATGTCCTGTCATGTTTTATTTAAGTCTTTAACCGAGAATAAGGAAAGAGCAAGTAAAGAGTGAACATAATGTTATTGATTTCATATGCGGTACTTATATGCAAATACACGGGTCCTCGGAGGACTAGTGGTTAGGCCTCAGCTCTCTCACCGCTGTAGTACGGGTTCGATTCTCAACCAGGGAACCGACCCCAGCCGCTAGGGTTACACACTACAGTGTGTTACACTCCCAGTGCTGGTCCCAAGCCCAGATAAAATTGGGGAGGGTTGCGTCAGGAAGGGCGTCCGGCGTAGAAACTGTGCCAAATCAAACATGCGGAACAATGATCCGCTGTGGTGACCCCTAACAGGAGCAGCCGAAGAAGAACGGCAGCAACTTATATGCAAATACACAATTGTGAAATTTTAACAACAACAATACTTAAACAAAATCAGCTCAAATAACTGCAATTAGGCTAATTAATAAATGCGACATTCATATTTGCAGCCCATCAATAAACACAGGTAAATATCTTAATGCATATGTATGTTATATAAATATACACAAAGGTATTTACAAAATTTATCTTTAAAAACCTGTTCACTAGTCATATATATATAAAAGTAAAAGATGGTAGATGCCTCCCGTTCACTGAAACTCGACTACCAGTTGTGTTCTATATGAAATCCCATTCAATGTAACTGTTTCCATTCTTTGTTACTAATCAAAATCCCGTGATGTAGAACAAGCTGCAAGAAAAAAAAACTTCTGAATAAAGATTTCGCTTATGTACATGCAAGATTTTCATTAATAACTCTTCCTTCTGCTGTCAGGAAGTGGGTAGTGAAGGGGGCACATAAGTTTTTTTTTTAATTCCTATTTACGTAGCAGTCAGAGAGAACGCATTTGTTTGAAACTGTGAAATGCTCCACCTGTCATCACATTAAAATTGTGCATATAGCAGGTTTGCCACTAATGGGCTGAGGATAAGGAGTAAATACACTGTGGCTGCCGGTGTCCTTGAACTCAGCATGCATCACTAGCCCTTTAGAGGCTTGTGAAATGGTGCTGGGCTAACTGCCGTTAGCATAACAGGAACCCATTATCGCACCTGGGAGAGAAGGAGAACGAGAGAGAAAGAGAGAGAGGGATGGAGAGATAGAGATATCTGCCCTGATTTAACATAAAACCAGCCACGGTGAGCAAACACAGCGGGGGCAGAGTGATTCATAGCTAAAGCTGGCCCCTCCTAAGGTTATCTACTTACACAAGACCAAAAGTGATTGAGTGTGTGTGTGTGTGTGTGTGTGTGTGGGACAGAAACAGAGAGGGCATGTGAGAGAGGAACATAACAGCACCTCACATTTTTTCCACCCCATTTTCCCTCTCTGTAATCTCCTTTATTCGGTCCTGTGCCACAGAGCTGTTTACACAAAGCGAGGGCAGCCCTGTCATCTGTGCCTTAATCGCAGCTGAGCACACGCACGCGCGCACACACACACGCACACACACAGTGTAGAGGGAGAAGAAACCTGCCTTTGTCTGTGCATTGTGTATGAATCATTTGCGATATGAATGTGAGCGTGAAATCAGAAACCTGCAGAGAAAAGTGTTAAGTGATATCAAATTTGCAATAAATTCCTCAATCATTTGGCAGATGTCCTTATCAAAAGCATATCCTCATGCTAGAACAAACAGAATAGGGTTATTAGAGAGGTGTTAGGAAAACGAGTTGGCACAGCAACAAATTCAGTACAAGTCAAATTATTATTATTATTATTACTGTATATTCTGTGACACTGGCTGTGAACGCCAGTGCCTAATTAAGAGCTGATTAGATGTTCAAAATCTATTGTTTCTAGCACTTTAATTAACAATTATACAATTGTTACAATTATAATAATAGTATGATATAATGATAGTTAAAATTATAATTGTTTTCCCACTGCTCTTGTTTTTAAAATATTTTTTTAGAATGTGATGCTTCATTTTCCTGTCATTTTGCAACCAAAACCTCACGATATTGTGATGCACATCATGGACCGTTTGTCATTCAAGTGATATTTTGCACAATATAACTTTTTTTTTTTTTTTTTTTTTGGTACCCCGAGGGTTAGAAAGGCACTAAATAAATGGAATCATTACGCCTGGACTAAGTGCAGTGTAGGAAGGAGTAAGAGTACACAAAAAGTTTAGAAGTCATAAGTGTAAGCCCACACAAAGAAGGAGAGGAATCATCATCCTTCTGTGCTTGCAAATTGATAGCAGCAGCTAGCTTGTTTTACCCTCCCGGTGCTAATTGGATTCCCAGGTCGTTAGATAAAGTGCCCAGAGTGACGTCGCTACAACCTACTGACTGCTAAGAGCCTGAGGCGAACACACTCTTCCTCTCTAAGCCTGACCAGTAAAGATAAAGCTCCAAAAACTCTGATCATCATGTAAAACTGAAGCTTCTGCGTTTAAGCAGTCATAAATATCACCGCTGACACAGAGCGTGATGTGTGGCTAATATGAGAGGATAAAGCAGGCCCCGGGGAGCTGTGATCGTTACACATATAATGAATCTGTGTTAATATGGAGGAGAAAACACTGTGTAAATCTGCAGTGCAGGAACACGCCAATATCCTCACTCACTATTCCAGCCTCTCCTGTTCGAAATTCAGAGGAAAAGAGAGAGAAAGAGAAAAAAAAAAAAACCTTTTGATGCTCCTCAATGTAAATCAATTAAAGTGCTAAAAGCATATCGAGATGGAAAGGCTGACTGAGACGAGGTAAAAAAAGAAAAATAAAGGATCGACCAGTGAGCTTTTCTTTCTAAAGAGAGATGCAAGTGTCCTAATTAAGACGGGGTGCGACAGAGTGGGATTAGAGGTGAAACACGAGGCTAACTTGTTCACCACCTCTCCATGGGTTTTTACATAGAATGAATTCTGTATTCAAGTACATAAAAACAAAAGAAAGAAAAATCAAGTAAACAATTACTCAATATTTAAAATAAACAGACTGCCATGCCCCACAGGAGAATTAGACTCCTCTTTTAGGCTTAGGGGATAAATCTAGGCAGCTGATTGAACAAACACAGTATTTGAATGCATTTGAATATTAATGAGCTTTTAATACTTTTATCCCACCACAGACAAAGTGATCAGCGGTAGCCCTACATTATGAGTTTGCACTGCATAAACAAATAATAGAGGGTGAAGAAACTGTGTCAGTTTCAAAGCAAAGAAAATTAGACTAATAAGACTAAATAATCATTAGCAGAAACTAATTTTCAGATTTGTTTTTATTTACTTACCCACAGTCATGTTTTCCTGCTGACATTTGCCTAAATTTTACATTTCCTATGTTACCCGATTACATTTAACTCATCTTCATAGGAGATTATTTTTTTTCATTTCAGTGTCTAAAACACCCGATTTGTTTTCTATCCACTATATGTATGTTGGGCATTCTGTGATGCTTTTCTGATCATCAGGGTTGTAAAGAGTGGTTATCTGAGTTACTGTAGCCTTCCTGTCAGCTCGAAAAAGACCTTCCAGTCTCTTTTGATCATCCTCTTTGTGTTGCTGCCACATGATTGGCTGACTGAATCACTCTATGAATGAGCAAGTGTACCAGTGTTCCTAATAAAGTGCTCTGTGAGTGTATATCCAATACAACAAGCCCAACTGACCAGGCAGGCGTTCACATCGCCTCACTAAGCAACAGTCTCTTGTATTTGATGAAGTCTGTGCACAACATTTGCTCAGTTTTCACTAAGATTAAAGTATTGGCACCCTCTGCTTTGTTTGAATCGCTTACCACCATTGCTGCAGGCAAATAAATTTTCTACTTCTCTTGCTTAATAGTTCACTTTATGAGGTAAGTGACAGTACTGCACCATGGATTCACATTTTAATAAGCTATGGGACGTAATTAGTCCCATATTTTTACTTAGTGTCGGGCCAAAGAAAAACAAATTTCAAGCATATTTTACTTAGTGTAGATGGTTACATAATGACAGCTTGATAAGTTGACTATTCATGCCCATCACTAGGGTTGTTACTGTGTTACAGTTTCGTGGTTAATCACAGTGTACGATGGGACAGTTAACTCATCACCGAATTTCTCATAATACTGATTAAAAAGCATTTCCATCTATTACCATTTGCATGTTTTATTTGTTTGTTTCTTTCCCAATCAAGTTCCTTACTCCAGTGGTTCTCTCATCCCTTTTGTGTCTAGCTGCAACTCCACAAAAACCTCCACCTTGTCCCTCTTCTCTAAATTCCTCCTAGGATCACCCCTTAACTCGTACTACAGCAACCTCTGTTTCCCTGTGCAGTGGGCATGACTGCACTGAAAACTCTTTGGCTGTGTAATCCGCTACTGCTGTAAACATGTTATATTGCTTATATTTGGCTAAGCAGCGCTACAACAATGTAATAAATACTGACAATGTAAGAGATTTTAAGGAAAATGTCATTCTCAAAAATATCTTTCTAAGAAAGAATAATTAGAGGATCTTTGCTTCCCCTGGGTTTTTGTTATATACACACACAAGGATGTGCAAAGAGATTTTAATTTTTCCTTCAGTTTTTATCCCCAGCTTACATGTGTTTAAAAGGGCATATTAATACTGTGAAACCATGATATTTTTAGAATAGGTCATCGTACTGTGAAAATTTCAAACCGTAACACCCCAGCTCATCACTAGTTTCACCTTTGCTCTTGTGTGGCTGCATTCATCACCTTCACAGAAGGGCTGAAGGTTTCTAAAGATTTTCATAGAGTTGGGAAAGTGCTGGCAGTGCATTTACTGGGCCAGAATGCACACTGCAGGCAGAGCTCCAATCCGCTCCAGACAACAATGCAGATGGGCCTCCGTTAATTACACACACAGAGAAGGGAGGAGAGCTGGTGGACTGAGAAAGAGGCTAATATATCAACTGTTTTCTCTCCTGATCTCCACTGATGCACAAAGACCTCCTGATTTGCACTTAATCAAGGTGAAGATAGTCACAAAACACGCGGTTATTATTGGCAAGAGTGAATTTGTGTCGCCCTCAGCACTCTTCCTGGCAATCCGATTAAAGGCTGCTCTGATGTCCGGGCCCCGGTGCGCCAACCCCCCTCTCTCTGGCCTCTTATCCCTACGTGCTCTCCCAGCCCTCCCTCCATCATCACCTTAGTTGTTTTGTGCCATTAACAATGTCTCCTGGG